TGTTTAAACCAACTTATATTTTGGTTGTACACCACTTGTATGTGCCGGATACCATTGTGTCAAATTTTTTCTGAAATTAACTTTAAAAGTACTAAGTAAGATCATGAGATATAGCAATATATGTTTAAACCAACTTATATTTTGGTTGTACACCACTTGTATGTGCCGGATACCATTGTGTCAAATTTTTTCTGAAATTAACTTTAAAAGTACTAAGTAAGATCATGAGATATAGCAATATATGTTTAAACCAACTTATATTTTGGTTGTACACCACTTGTATGTGCCGGATACCATTGTGTCAAATTTTTTCTGAAATTAACTTTAAAAGTACTAAGTAAGATCATTTATTTTTGCATAATATAATGCCAATATGGTTTCTTTTGATTTTATTTCATTTATAAGCAAATCAGATTTACCCAAAAACTCCACTCCATAAGCGTTCATTTGCTAAATTAAAAAGTGACAATGGGCTAGTCTGTCCCTTTCTCTTTTCCTATCTCTTGATCAAAGATAGTAAGTGAATATAAATAAAATTTATAAATAATATAAATTTGACTTTTTTTTTGAAATAAATAACAAATAAAAAATCTTTGTATTGTTTTTATTCCTTATTTTAGCAAAAAGTATAATTAATATTTTTAGACACTCAAAAACCTCTGATGCGCTTTCAATTTTCTGACGACTACACAAAAATCTAATCAATTATTTTTAATAATGAATAATTATCAAAGGATATTAAAACATAAGCATTTTTATTAAATGCCATAATTCAATTATATTGAAATGCAACTCAATTCAAATTTATCATATGTTCTTACACCTTTTTGCTTCAGCAGTTAACTCACAAGTATTCACATGTATGCATGATATTTACACGAATCAGCAACTTCGTTCAAGTGAACCAGAATCATTGCGAAATCTTCGGGATGAATCAACTTCAACTCCAGAATCAAATCCAAATGAAAATCAATTTAAATGTAATCCAAAACTTCATCCTGCAACATATAATTTGAGAATTGATTTTCGAATGCAAGGAATTGACAATGAAGTAATCAAGAAAACATTCAATTATGTAAACGATTTTCTTAGTAAACGTATTAATGTTACTGATCGTGCAAGAAGTTTAGATGATGATTTTGATCTCGTTATTGATGTAAAGGCTGAATCATTTGAAAAAGGTTCAAATGGCCTTGCATTTGCACGTTCTACATACAATCATCCCACAACTGGCAGACCGACACATGGGGAAATTACACTTAATTCAAATAAGATACCATTTGAGGCACAAACACTAGAATCGGGTGATAGACAATTCATTTTAACGGTTATTCACGAATTAAATCACATTCTGTCATTCAGTAGCTCGTTATTTAATAAATGGCAACCTTATGGAGAAACAGCCACAATTGTCCACTATACCGATTGGCAAGGTAAAGAAATATCTAAAGGCGAATACGAAAGCTACAATGATAATAGGGTTCCACATATGTACGTCAGATCTCCATGTTTGACAGAA